ACAATGGGACTAGGATGCGGGGCAATTCAAAGCTATGTAAAGGACTGGCGGCATTCTTCTTGAGAATTACCTTCAGCAGAGAGACTATCCCCATGCTTTACGGCTCCATGCTATTTCCAGCTAACAACCAAAGAATCCATTTAACTCCTTCTTTACTCCCTGTACTGGCTCCAAATATTTTTTTTAAAAGAATTTATTTTATTTTTAATTATGAGTAGATGTGTGTGCTCATGTGGGGTGTGAGTGTAGGTACCCTTGGTGTCAATTAAAGCTGGCTCCCCGAATCTGTAGTTACAGGTGGCTGTGAATCACTACATGGGTGCTGGGGTTCTCCACTAAGAGCAGCAAGTGCCCTTACCTGCTGAGCCATCTCTTCAGCCCCACTCAGTGCCTTTTGCCTGCTTCTAAAGGTCAAATAACTTCAAACAATAGTTATCTTTATTCACAAAGACTGTCACATAAATGTCCTAAACAGTAGCACTTTTGGAACATTAAAGATGGACTGACCTAAGGAGTTAGTAAAGATTAAGCAAACTCCAAATAATAACCCTAAAGGAAAAGTAGCACTCATCTGGATGTACGGGTTATGGCATATTTTGCTGGAAGAGAAAAATTACATTTCATGCACTCATTGCTATTAAGTATGCTAATCTAGATACATCTTTATGATAGACATCTTCTAAAGTCCACATGTAGGAGCCTCTATACCATATGCATAGGGTATAAACTGGGGCATAAAATAGAGAACATTGCCAGGAGCTATGCTGGAATCAGCCATAAAAGGGTTCTTTCTTTGCAAGAAGTGTGAATAGAAAGCTAGAGTAAGACTATAAAAAGCACTCCAGGCAAAGGCCATATCCAGCTCATTGAAGAAGCCAGTAAATACCCTGAGTAAGTGAACATATAAGAATGCTTACAACATCTACTCTTTTTGCAAGAAGTTTAACCACTAGAATTTGAATCTGAAACAAGAATAGAATCTGAATCTGAAACTAGAATAGAACCTGAAAACATCTTAATAATGGGGCTAGGGAAGTCATATAATAGTCACTGACATAGTATGCGAGGGTAATTTTAAAATGTATGAGTAAAATGAACTAGGGAACCAAGACGTAAGACAGAATATTAAAAAATATGTTTTATGGTCTGGCATGTGGCTCAGTTAGAGTGCCTGCTTTAAATGCATGAAGTCCTGGATTCATGATAGCACATGTCTATAATCCCAGCACTCAGGAAGCTAGGGTTATTTAACAAACCTTTGAAAAGTACTTTAGTTATTGTAATCATCCTGTTAGGGTTCTGGGCTGTTTTTCTTAGACTGGGCCTCATGTAGCTCAGACTGGCCTTGAACTCACTATGTATCTCAACTTCATTTTGAACTCCTCTCTACCTTCTCTACCTCTCAAATGCTGAATTTACAGGTATATAAAACTATATTTAGCTCAACTATACACATTTTTTTTTTCTGTTTTCCAATACAGGGCTTTTCTGTAGCCCTGCCTGTCCTGGAATTCACTCTATAGACTAGGCTGGGCTCAAACTCAGAGATCTGCCTGCCTCTGCCTCCCAAGTGCTGGGTTTAGAGGCGTGCGCCACCAGGCCCAGCTCAACTACATCATTTTTAAAATTTATCACTCACAGGAAGTCTCTATCTCATCTCTAAAGTCTTGAAGTCTCATGAGATAGGAACCAACTACTTAATAACGAAAAGGCTAACTATTCAGAGAGTGAGGCTTACTTAAGAAATATTCTTAAGAATATGCTTCTTGAGAGGGGTGAAGTAAGCAAAACTAAGGATGTTAAAAAAAAAAACAACTTATGGAAAGTCACTACTTTGTAAGCTAATTCAAAAAATGCATAAAGCTCCCCACCCCTTAAGTTCATACTACTCTTACAGAGGATTCTGAACATAGGTACCCCGAATGAGTGGATGCTTCTTTTAGAATACATGGATTCTACGCATATATAATGCAAAAGTCTCAGTGCTGGCTTTGGGAAACATTTCTGAGTTAGTATAAGTCAGGGAGGCCCTCAAAACAATAGAGGCCATTGCTATTGCTCCTGGCTACCCATCATAACTAGATGGAAGACCTATCTATTGCTGATGACCTACACCCTGTGGTCACAGGACATAGAGAAATCAAGTTGGAGATAATACAAAAACTTCCTCCCTCTTGACCAGCTTCCACAGTGCTAGAAGGCATTATGCAGGCTGCTTGGGGAAAAAAGTCACTAATGCTGACTAGCTAGGCAAGGTATAATGATGGCAGAAAGATTATGAAGTTAACATACTGCTTTTTGATTGTATTTAAGGCCTGTTCCTCAGGAGTAAATTTATATCTGATATTGTAAAACTATCTGAAAGCCTATGGCCGGGGGGTCGGGAGGGGGAATCACAGGCCCTGGGGGAAGGAGGAACTTGTTGCTGTTGTTTTAATAAATAGACATGTTGTCAAGCTGCCTTATAAATATTTAGGTTATATCCATAGATTACATATGAATATAAATGAATGTAACATATAAATATATTCATATATAGAGAGGGTTATATGTTATATTCATGCCACTCTCCTCTTTGGACAGAGACTTCTTTCTACGGGGCAGTAATTAATGCATCAGCATAATTGAGAATAAATTAGAATTGAAAGATCAGTCTTAAATGGAACAAGTACTTCAACCTTCCACCTCTCCCACACTCCCCATGGTTCAGGGGAAGGAGGAAAGAAAGAATAGAAATGCAGAGGATCGAGAAGAGTGTTGTAAAATTCTGTCTTCTGCAAACGGTACTAATGAGTTCATTCAACTTATGGTTACCTGAACAAGACCTTCATGTGAGTAAGCCAATACAACTGGTCACCATGACAGCAGGCAGCACTAACTGGATTCAGAGAGTTACATGAAGTTATAAAGGAAACATACTGGGGTGTGCCCAGGGAAAGTATTTGTAGTGGGGTGCAGGAGTTGTAGGTAGGTATATGCATGAAACTGTCAGAGAATAAATAAAAAATTTAAGAGGGGAAAAGTTAAATGACAGCTCAGAAAAATACAAGAAAAAAGAAAGAGGGGGTGGGCTGACAGAGTCCAGTGTCAACATTAGTCTCCCCAGAGGTTGTTTCATGAATGACTGAAGTTTAAAACTATAGTATCAAAAAAATTATTATTTGCCAGGAGTCATTCATGCCTGCAATCCTACCACTTGGGGAGTGGTGGCTGAAGGATCACAAAGGAGTTCAAGGTTATCTTCAGCTACATATTGAGTTGGAGACCAGCATATTTCAACTCCCAACTGCAAAGTTTTATGTTGATGTTTTATTAAATACCTTGGGTACTCATGGCTTAATCAAACAAAGAAAAAACAACAAAGCATATGTAAGAAATGTTAACTTTTAGAAATTTAAAGTATTTCCCAAGGAAAAATGATAAAAGTGAAGAAGAAAAAAAGAAAACAGCTTTAAAAGCTATGCTAAGCAGTGAGTTTTCCATTGTGAACAACCTATAAATAGTCAAAATCTGACATTTACAAGCTTTTGGTGTAGTTTTATTTTTGCAGTTACTTATTTATTTGAGATAGGGTGTAATGTAGGCCAGGCAAGCCTGGAACTCACTCGGTAGCTGCAAGTGACCTTGAATTTTTATCCACCTGTTTTCACCTGCCCAAAGCAGGGATTGGGGGTACAGGCATTCTAGAACACAAGTCCAATATACTAAGTTATATATGGCACACTGTTATCCCTGGTTTCAGAAAATTGATACAGTTCCATCAAGCTTGTAGGATTCACAGGAGTGGCATGGGACTAGAACCTCAGTCTTTACTGCCTGTTAGAGAACTGTTCTCATTCATACTATCCAACTCAAGAAAGAACCATGGAGAGAGACAGTGAGCCAAGAAGTCAGATCAGGCTCGCTAGCCCAAGAAGATGGTTAAGTACGAGGACTCTCTAAAGTGTCTTATGCTCTCTCAGGCCAACTTTCTTAAGTCTGAGCTTAGCTTCCTTACTTGCTCTCCTCATATGACATGGCATCATGGCCCACCCATTTTAGTGTCAGCCTCTCAGAGGCTGGTCGCAAACTGAGTAACCCACCGTCCCATTCTGGAACTCAGACGTCAAGGACGTATCCATAATCTCAACCCCAGCTTGGCACTCACTACCTTCATTTCCATCAGGAGCCCCATTCCTCAGACGTCCGCGCTCGTTCTTCTGCTCACAGGCACTTAACTCCCTCCAATCCCCAAAAGTGGCATTTGGCGCTGCAACCAACTCTCGCTCTTCTGGGGGAAAACCTGGCTCAGTACGGCCAACCTGACCCACACTACCCCTCCGTTCCTCGGCCCGGGAGTGCCCCTCCCTCCCTCCTCGTTGCCACCCGCGTCCTTCTCTGCAAAGGCCGCCCCTCGGGCCCCGTACCGCGCGGGAGCCCCCTTCCTCACCCGGCGATCACGGCCCCGATGAGGTAGAGCAGCAACAGGCAGAAGGTGCTCAGGTTCTGCGGGGCCATGGTGCCACCCTCTCGGCCTCCCGTGCCGCTGCGTCGGCTGACCAGCCCTTCCGGAGGCCGCCTCACTCCGGGGTCTCTCTCTTGCCCAGCCGCCGCGACAGGTAGCGCGCCCCTTCCTCAGCTGCCACTTTCCGGGAGAGCCGGCGAGCAGCCAGGCGTGGGCCAATCGGCGCCGGGGACATCACACGCGGCCGCCCCTCTGCAGCCAATCAGAGCGGTACACTTCACCTCCGAGGCGGCGCGGGCAGCCAGTCAGACAGCAGAACTGAAGCCGTGGCCGCCGGCCAATGGGAAGAGGAAACGTCAGAGGTTCGCGCCGCCCGGAAGCTCCTGAGAACCGGAGAGAGTTAGGAGCCGAGAAAGAGCGCGCTGCTGTAGGAAACCCGAATGTCCACCAATCGCGAGGCTGCTTCCAGATTCCGACCAATTGCTCGAGAGAGGTCTTAACGTGGTTACTAGTCTGGAAACTACGCCATGTGCACACGTGACACACGCGCGCTCACGGAGGTGCAACCCCAGGAGGTGTCAAAGTACGTGGGGCGTCTTGCCTAGGGGTAGGCTCTCACAGTACAAACTCATTACAGTCTCGATATCGTAGGAAAGAGGCCTGGCACCTTGTAGAGACGCCGTCGTGGAGACCGACTTAAGTTCAGATTCCGCTTCCAGCACTCCGTAGCGGTGAGGCAACCCCATCCCCACTCCACTTTCGAACCTGTTTTCTAAGGCATTCGCTGGCAACGTTGGGAATTAATTGAATGATTATTTTTTTTCTGTAAGTTTCCTAGAAGAGTTGCACACAGTAAGCATGCAATCAATAAAAGGCCATTATTATTATGTTGGTGGGTTTTTTGTTTTGTTTTTTTTTTTGTTTGCTTGTTTTTTGTTTTTTGTTTTTGGTTTTTCCAGACAGGGTTTCTCTGTATAGCCTTGGCTGTCCTCTATAGGCCAGGCTGGCCTCGAACTCAGAAATCTGCCTGCCTCTGCCTCCCAAGTGCTGGGATTAAAGGCGTGCGCCACCACTGCCCGGCAAAGGGCTTTTATTGTTGTTAGGAGTAGAGCTTGTTCGTTGGTTGTTCTTTTTCTCCAGTATTGTTTACCTCAGACAACTAGTTGTTTAGGAAAGCCTCTCCGCTCAGCTTTTTTTCCTGCATAACTTATTCAGATCTTTACCAGTGACCCGTCGTACCGTGTGCATGTCCACTATAGCTCCACGTCTGAGTCATAATTATTTCTTGCTTGCAAAGGCCTCATAACCGATCTTCCTGCCTAGAAACTTAATATCTCGATACACTATTTAAAAATTCTTATGTTCTCCACCCTATGATGGTGTGCACACGTGAGCACACTAGGGAACCCGGAGGTCACTGGTTAGACTAGGCTGGTGGACCCGGGAGCTCAAGATCCTGTCTCTGTCTCTTGAGCGCTGGAAGTTCAGGTCATTTTTGTCGCAGTTGCTACAATGGGTGGAATTCAAGGCCTCCTGCTTGTACCGTAAGCTTTATGGACTGAACTATTCCCAGCACCTTCCCACTTTTTAAAAAAAAAAAAGTCAAATCATGTCACTCTTCTGCTTTTCATTGCTCTCAAAGTAAAATGCTAACTTACAAAGCTGTCTAATGATGTATATCCTCACCTATTAAATATCTTGGCATGTTCCAGAATAATCAACTCCCTTCTAAAAAATTTTTATTGTGTATATTCATTGTATATAGTACTTTCTTGTATAAGCAAACTGTATAATTTTATTTATATATATTATACTCTCTTACCTTTTTCTCTCTGTTGTGTTATTCCTTTCGTTTCTCTAGACAGTTTGGCTTTGCCATATACACATACATGATTTTAAGTACCTATATAAAATCTAGGAACCACAAATGAGATAAAGCATGTTTTTGTTTCTCTGAGACTGGCCTAATTCCCTTAAGATGATTATCTCCAGTTATATCTATTTTCCTGTAGACAACAAAATTGCATTCTTAAATGTTTGCTTGTGAGCCTAGCCTTTAATAGTTGAGCCATCTTTCCTATCCCATAACTGCATTCTCTATGGTTGAGGAGAAAACATTGTACATAAGCCACCTTTCTTTATTCTGCTGCTGTTGAACTAACTAGGACTAACTGGGTTAGTCCTGTAACTTAGCTATTGTGAGTAGTGCGAGAACGGGCATTGATGTTTTGCCAAAACCCCTTTTCTAATTAAAATGAGAAAGGTTTATGTTGATATGCATGGGTGCTTTGCCTGCATGTAAGCTAGTGCATGCCTGTTGCTCAAGGAGAGCAGAAGAGGGTGGAGAATCCCTTGAAACTGAAGTTGCAGTTGGATGTGAGCACTCATGTGGGTGCTAGGAATGAAATCCAGGTCTTCTAGAAGAGTAGTAAATGTTCTTAACTTCTGAGCTGTCTCTCCAGCCTGGCTGGCAAGGGCTGCACTGAAACTTCTGAGCTATCTCTCCAGCCTGGCTGGCAAGGGTTGCACTTCTGAGCTATCTCTCCAGCCTGGCTGGCAAGGGTTGCACTGAGAATGTTTTACATCCATGTACATTAGGGAGATAGGTCTATAATTATCTTTTCTTTGTTTATCTTTGGTGCTAGTAATAGGCCAATACTGACCTTATTTTCAAGAAGCTATTTTATGCAATACTTTGAGAAATAGTGCTGTTTTTCCTAAAGGTTTGGTAGAATTTTGCAATGAATTTATCTTGGATATTTGGACTTGTCTTAGTCATTGGTCTCTTACTGTGAAGAGACACCATGACCAAGGCAACTCTTATTTTAAAAAAACATTCAGTTGGGACTTGCTTACAGGTTCAGAGGCTTAGTCCTTTATCATATGGCAAGGAGCATGGCTGCATGTAGGAAGGCACTGGAGTAGTAGGTGAGAGATGCTTTGGTCCACAGGCAGAGAGAGAGAGAGAGAGAGAGAGAGAGAGAGAGAGAGAGAGAGAGAGAGAGGGGGGGGGATAGGGGGGGGCGGGAGACCTAGGCCTGTCATGGCTTTTGAAGCCTCAAAGCCCATCCCCTGTAATGCTTTTCCTCCAATATGGACATACCAGTTCCAACAAGGACACAATCCTTCTAATCCTTTCAAAGAGTTCCACTCCCTAGTGACCTAAGCATTCAAATATCTGAGCCATGGGGGCCATTCTTCTTTAAATCACCATTGGGCTCTTTTTAGTTGTGAGGCTTTGTTGTTGTTTTGAGTTATCTTTACTTCGTCAGTACTGATGCTTGTTACACAGTTGTTTAAATTAGTTATCTCCTCTTCATTTAACTGGCAGGTTGTATCCTTCTAGCAATTATCCATTTCTTTTAAGCTTTCCTGAAAATGTGAGTTTCGTTGATATTTTGTAATGGTTCTTTTATTTTGTCTCTGATTTTGTTGATTTAAGGCTTCTATAATCCTGTTATTTCATGGATTCATATTTTTCCATTTCAATTTTATTCATGTCTATGCCCCCATCAATCTCATATTTTACTTTGTGTGTGTACGTATGCCTGTACCACAGTGTGCATATGGAAGTCAGAGGACAACTTGCTGCTGTCATTCTCCTTCCAGACTGTCAGTCCTAAGTATTGAATTAGGCAGCCTGGCTTGGTGGTAGTGGTTCTGAGCTGTTGTCCTAGATTCATTTCTGTTGCTACAGTAAAAATACCCTGAAGGGGGAAAGAAGTGTAGGGGAACAAAATGTTTCTTCGCCTTACAGTTCCAGGTTAGGTAAGAAGTCCTGTCATTGTTGAAAAGTGTCAGAGTTAGGAGTCTGAGGCAGCTGGTCACACCTCATCCACAGTCAGGAGCAAAAGCAGAAGTACCATGTTGTGTGTTTGCTCACAATTCTGCTTGCTTTCTCTCCTTGTATCCAGGGCACAGCCCAGCCCAGGGAATGGGTCAGTTAATAATCAAGACGGCCTTCCTCATTCATGCCCGCAGGGCCAACCTGATCTAGGTAGTTCCTCAGTTGAGACTGTTTCAGATGACTCTGGGCTTGGCTAGTTGACAGTTAAAGACAGACCATTGCAGACATCTTGCCACCATGCTCTGGTTTGATCACTTAAAAGATCCTTAAGTGAATTTTAAAATATTTGTGATGTCTCTGGTTTTTAAAAATTCAGTAGGCACTTCACTTTTTAGAACCAGTTTCCTGGTTATAGGGAGATGCTCAGTGGGGGAAAAACACCGTGCAAACCTAATGACCTGAGTTCAATTCTTGAGACCCTCCCTAATAAAAGCTAGATGTTGGTGGCTTACATCTGTGGTCTTAGCGTGCCTACTTCAAGGTGGGAGGGAAAGAAAGGGGAATCAGACAAAAGCTTGAAGGCCACCTAGGCTATAGCACAAAACAAAGAGACACAAACAACAGGAGAGGGTTGGTAAGATGGCTCAGGTAGTATACTATCAAGTCTGATTACCTGAGGTCAGTCTTTGGCCCCCAAATGGTGGAAAGAGAAGTGACTCAGATTGTCCTTGGCTTCCACATGCACATCATGGCCTGTGCACACACAACACAGTCACAAACTAAATGTAAATCAAAATCTTTGAAAGAGTAAGAGAGACTCTGCTCTCATTTCCCACCTGGACAGTGCCTTCATTATGTCTTAAGTGTTGGTATGTTGTATTTGTATTATTCTAGTCTATTAATTTAAAAAAATGTTTCAGGTTTATTATTTTAAAGTTACGTGTGTGTATGTGTCTTTGTATGTGAATGTATGCGTACAGGGACTGTCAGAGTTCAGGAGAGGCTCTTGGATCTCTTGGAGCTAGAATTACAGTTGGTTGTAAGCCACCCATATGGGTGCTGGGAACCAGACTTTGGTGCACTGCAAGAGCACTGTATGCTTTTCACAGCTGAGCCATAGCTCTGGGACTGTCCCTGCCCCCGTTGTTCAGTGTCCATGAGTTCTGTAGTTCCTCTCAAGATGGTTTCTAGTTTTAGTCTATTGATGATAGATTACATACATGAGATTATTTCAGTTCTCCTGTATGTGCTAAGGCTTGCTTTGTGTACTGTTTGTTATATGCTGTATCTTAGATGTTCTATGAGATGGTGAGAAGACTGTGGGATGCTTGTAGCTATCTGGTAGGTCTATTTGAGATAGGATGCTGTTGAATCCGGCCGTTTATTTGTTGTCAGGATAACCTGTGTACTGGAGAGAGTAGATCTTAAACTCACTCATTATTGTGCTAGAGCTAATATGTGTCTGCGTCTATTCTATCTCTTTCTTTTTTAAATATATATATATATATTTAAGTTTTTCTGTTTATTTTTATTTTATGTGCATTGGTATTGTGCCTGTATATATGTCTGAGGGAGTCAGATCCCCTGGAACAGGAGTTACAGGCAGTTGTGAGCTGCCATGTGGATGCTGGGAATTGAATTCTGGTTCTTTGAAGGAGCAGCCAGTGCTCTTAGCTTCTGAGCCATCTTCTCAGCTGTGTGTTTCTATTTATAGTAGTATCTGTTTTATACAATTGGGTGGTCTGTGTTCAAGGAATATATGATTTGGAATAGTAACATCTTCTTGATTGATTGTTTATTATTCAATATGAAGTGACCTTTTCTGAATAGATTTGGTTTGAAATATGTATTGCCATAATACATATTTATAATGTAAGATACTAAATTAGCAACACCCATTTGTTTCCTAGGTTCATTTTTTTTTTAGAATACCCTTTTCCATTC